CCATGATAATCTTAAGTATGGCAATTTCGACAGTCTGGAAACAACACTGGTCATTCATTTTCCGAGAAGACAGATCACAAAGTCTCACATACAACCACCTCAAGAATGCCATGTGGAAAACTTTATCTGAACGCATAATAGATGACAGCCAAAAACACAAAAAAAACAGCATATGGATACACAAAGGGATAGTGGACTGGACGTCTCAGAACGTCCATATCACCTACCCAAGTATACATATTGCTGAATAATACATCTCATTAGCATCTGCTCCTTACATTTCAGTGAAAAATTTACCAATGTCATAAATAAAGTCAATTTTGATCATTTAAAAAAAAAAAAAAAAAATACATCCTTGACCAAAAAAAATAAAAATAACAACTCCCATACAATACACCCGAGCGACTAATTATTGTCATATCAATAGCTGACATGTGGGATGAATTAACTGTAGAAAGATTTCGTATAGCTGAAGAAGATCGCAACAGGGAAAACAGTTACTATGCGCCATATAATAGATTGTTATCAATCGTATTTCCCCCGAATAGCAGATACACCGTTGAGCCTGTTATCCATCCTATAGGTACTCGCAAAACCATTGAATACATGGTAACCATGCAACTTGGTCACAAGATATTTCCTGTGCTTGTCGTGGAGATAAAAAGTCCGGATAGTCTACAAAGCCTATCAGCGAGACGGGAAGCAAATGAACAAATAGCAAATAGATATGCAAGCATAGGAAACCAATGCCCCCTTGAGATCTTCTATGCCATAAGTGCATTTGGAACGATGATATCCATTTACACTCTTGACAGGTCATCTGGAACCATCGCTCCCTCATATCCACCTGCAGATCATCAGAGACTCAATGATAATGTACCTGAAGACGCATGGAACATCGATATATTGGAGGAAAACGGTGCTAACACAATTAACGAAGTTTTTACCGACGTACAACGAATGTGTGAGAATCTGAGAGCCAGACTATCTGCTGATCGGCATCAAAAAAATACATGTCATATTAAACATAAAAACTCAAACATAGTAGTAGTATTGGTGGTAACTTTTATTATCACGGTATTGCAAATACATCAGAGTTATCTCGACTTTCGTTAGGCACAGTCTTAGTCTGTTTAATTTAGGGCTGTGGTAATGGTCCCAACATGTACCTTGTATGGCGCAATTCCAATCGAGAAATGAAAAAACTGTTTGGTATGATAAGGACAGCGCGCAACCGCTAATATACTTGGGATATCCTTTATATTCCACACAAGCTCAACTACAACAATTTCTCGAAACCGTATATACCAAACTACAAAATCATGTGAATGTTCTTAATACACGCAATCTTTCCATCAAAGGAAAAGCGATAGTCGCCAACTCACTTCTGTTATCCAGATTATGGCACCCTGCTGCGGGTCATAACCCCACCACAGGATTGGATAGATAGGTGTAGGAGGTTAGTGTGTAGCTATATCATGCCGTTCTTACTTGACCACCAAGGAAACTATTGTGTAATGCACCAAGCAAAGGGGGCATTGGTTTGATTGATATTACATCACAGCACAAAGCCCTACAGGTGATACACATCCGGACCCTTCAGCATAAGATACCAAACAAAGAGCGATTACACAACATTTTTCCTGGCGAACATAGCAGAACGTGGACAATATGTCAAAAGGAAAATGAATCAGCACTTCCGGGTAGGACGTGAACGAAAATGGAAATACTGGATGAGAATGATGAATTTCAAGAAAATGACGCCTGAAATACGGTCGAAAGACAAAATTTGGAGTTTGATTTTCTTGCAACAGACCAAATTACAAGATGATCATATTTTGGAGGAAATGGGACGATTCATGCTCGCCATTTGGATAACTCACTGGAATTGCATCAAACAACAGAGAGCATGGTTGGACCAAGCTGCGTTCAATATGTATGAGTCGACACCGAACTCACTAATGACTGTTTCCTTCAACCGAAGGAAAAAGAAGGTATACAATCATGGATAGAAATAATACAAACAGGAACAACACAAAGCACAGTCCAGGCTTCTTTATGGAAAATGTGCAGATGTTACCAGAGTCCAAACGAGGAAGAATTCCCAGACGAACCTCTGATTACTAACTTCGAACTGGTGATTCTTTTCCAGATCATTTCTGACCCAAAAGCGACGCAAAGAAAAGACATTGACTGGCTACTAGCTCGATGGCGAGACTTAAGTTTATAAAGTTCCGAACTCAGGCACAGGGTATTTCAAGTAGAAAGATAGAAAAACCAAATATAAAAAACGTTCGTACAATATAGCAATCAGTAGAAACCAGTCTGTATTCCAGTCTCTGAAAATCAGGAAATAAAACAATTCACTAAATCCAGACAAAAAGTTTGGTGCCACACTATACAGAACCTTGGCTCATTCCAACAGCTACTCGTTTACTCATCAAAAAGAACCGGGTGAAGATTATTCAAGGCGTGAAATTTTATCATGGAAAAGTATACCAGCCTGGGGAAAATGGTGACAAAATTTGGGAAAAAAAAAAATTACAGCGAAGGAACAGTTAGAGACATGAGAGGAATCGTGAAATTTTTATTTTTTCATGATCTTAAATCAGTCGAACATCACTTTGTTTGGAAACAATACTTCGATAAGCTATCAATTAGGCCACTACCATCCAGTCTACTGTTACAGAATTACAAACAATAAACACTATAATGAATGGAATCAACAATCATACGCGAAACCAGAACTGAGCAATAAGACGATCTCAAGGAAGGGAAGTCTCAAAAGAAGTCGTACCGTCTAAGAAGCCCTCTTATTCCGATGTATTCAAAGAAGATACCTCCTCTAAGTGGTCTGTTTTTGTATGACTATTCCCAGTATCTTATTTTGATGTAATCAGAAAGAAATGGCGAAAAATAAAACTACGGCCAAAAAGAAAATCTGCCGAAATCGCATTGCAATTCTCACCTTCGGGCATGAAAGTGCTGAATTACTGTACTTGGCCATCAAGGCATTGGGCGAACAGAAAATCTGTCAAAAAAAAAGCTTCGATCATTGAATATTATAAAATTGAACCACTGATCTACGCTTTCCTACAAGATGTATCAGGGTCTCCTCGTTTATGATGACAATCGCTACGCCGGTCCAACGAACCATAAACGAGAAGTTTTACCACTTGCTAGACCCGTTAGACATTCATCCACTTGAAGACCTACCATTTGAAGACGTAGACCTACATCTCGAGATACAGTAGCTGGAATACCAGATCAAAAGACTAATACCAGTAATGAGTAATACACAGAGAAACGCGAGTGCATTGCTGTATGCGATGGTAGAACAAGATGATAATTTTAAGCGACATTTAATACAACTCTTGATATAAATTACACAAAAAATCCGACAAGTCGTCAGATGCGGCTGACTGACTTCGGCCATCAACATATCTTCAACAGTAATATAATCTCTACAATTATTCATTACTGTCAATGATTCCTTTGGCTACCAAAAAATAAATGCACGAGAGAAGCCCAGCATATAAGAGGGAGTTGAGGATGCAGAGTCCAAGCCAGTATAGTGCAATTGCCGGGTGGGTACGTTGATGAAAGTGAATATTAAGATATTTGCAACTGTCAACCTAAAACCGCTGTAATGGTGTAATACCTATTACTGTTGAGCTGTTAAAAAAACAAGTAATCAAAGCTGGGTTGTAGACGGCTCTCTTAAAGTAACTTAGCAGTCCTGAAGGAGTTATTCAGAATTCATCTCAGAGTAAAATACCTATCCCTCACAGATCCTTTGCTTACTATTTTTCGCAATTGTCTATTTCTAAGTGAAAACCAAAGAATATATAGATGGAGGGAATCTCAGTGCTGAATATATCTCATTTAACTCGTGAGACAAAGGGTTATACATTTATAATGAAAACAGGTCCGATGAACTTAGACAACCGTGCGGTATGCAGGCTCACAGGTTGAACCGTTCCCTTCGACTCCAGCAGATACACGATACAGTCAAAGCTTCAGGTGATAAAGAAATCAAAGGACTAAATTCTAGTGTCTTGCGTGAAAGTCAAACCGCCAAAGTAGGTGTCATGTCGAGGTCGCTTTATGGCAGGTGGCAAACTGCCTTTTTGTTTTGGAATTTCTGTACGGGCATTGAGGGCAGTCACATAAAACATCAGCGAACTGTGGGCCTGTGGCCCGAGTGAGTCTAACAACACCTTCAGGCACTTAATAATAGTCATGGCTGACAGAAAACTTCGACCTTTGTATGGTGAGAAGAATAATAACAAAGAGGCTTCAGTGGAAATGACCATCAGCTGACTTAACTAATTCGAAATCCTAATCTGCAGAGGCCATCGATGAGGGTCATAGTAAAGAAGCCTTGCAGCTAGCCAACAAGATTCTCAAAAAGACACCTGATTTCGTATTGGTCAAGGTAAAATTCAACTTCGCATTTTCACAATTTTCAATCCACATGGAAGTGCATCTGACGGTTTTTTAGGCACTTAAAGCTCTTGCTCTTGTCAGAAGTGGGAAGGAGGACGAGGCTAGTGACCTGTGCGCTCAAGTTAAGGCTGCACAACCTATCGATGAGCCTACGCTTCAAGCCGCTACCATGGCATACAAAGAAATCGGGCAGCGTACGTATGGTTGATTTGCTTTTACGCTTATACTGTCAAATTTACAAGCTGTCGTTGTCGTAGATGATCAGATCGTACACCTGTATGAAGCAGCAGCAAAATTACAGCCTAACAACGAAGAATTTGCTAACCACTGGTTCATGGCTATGGTGCGAGGAAAGGATCTCAAGGGTCAACAGCAAGCAGCCCTCAAACTTCACAAATCATTTAAGAATAACAAATACTTGTTTTGGGCAATCATGTCTTTAGCACTTCAAGGCGAGGCTGCCAAGGGTACTACACCAAACCTTTCGTATACGCTGGCAGAGCGTATGATGAGCAAGGCTTTGGAAGAAGGCAAAGTAAAGCAGACAGAAGAGATTCGTCTGTATCTTTTAATCCTCATTGGCCAAGGCAAGCGAAAGGAAGCACTTGTATTGCTTGACAGTGACATCGGACAAAAATGTTTGTTAGATCCAGAAGTGCGCCAAATTTACGTGGAGCTAATGACTGAAACGAACGAATGGACTCGCGCTTTTGAAGTGAGCAGAAAAGTTTTGTCAGAACAAAAGTAAGAACAATGTGTCATAAAATGCGTTGAGATGTGAGTTATTAACGTTTAACCATGCGTAAAAAAGCTCTGATGATTGGATCAGCTGGAAAACCTACTTTGATGCCCTTTTTAAGCAAATTGCTGAGGATCCAGAGAGTGAGCAGAGAAAACTTGAGGAGGCTAAGGCTCTCATCGAGTCTACCAAGAAATCTGCATTAGAAGCATCCATTATGAAGCGAGGTCCTTTCATGGCAGAACTTGAATTAGATTTGAGACTGAAGCAAGATAGCAAAATAGGTCAGTCCAACACAAGGTGATAGGCATCTTGATGTAAGGTGGGGTATGTCGCTAATAGCTTGCATGGTTATAGACGGCGCAACAATGCTGGAACATATCAAGGCTTATTTTGATCGGTTTGGTACCAAGCCGTGTTGCTTTGAGGATCTACAGCCCTATGTCAATGCTGTTTTGGACGACACCGAAGAAATTTCCAGCTTTATCAATGACATACGATCACTGGTTCATCTTGAAACAGAAGATGTAAGTAATGTATTTGAAGCTGAATTTTCTCATACGGAAATCTAAATCGGATATGTTACGTCTTAGACTGGCGTGAAAATTAGAAATATCCAAAAGGATATCAATGTATATAAGCTGGAGCACTATCTGAATACAAGTGGTAGTGAAACAGAGCAGGATGCGGTTAAAAAGGTTACAGAGTTATGGGCAGCTTACAACAACGCTTTGCCGCTAGGTACAGATTGAGTGGGATTGAATTTGTCATATGCCGCCATATTAAATACTCTTTTGACTTTCCCTAGGCAAAACATTGGAAAAAACTGAACGGCAATATGGAGATGACTATGTAGTGCTAGCATCACACATCCTACTCAAAGTATATAGAGAGACCAAGGACATGGCCTTCATCCTACATGCTCTTGTGTTGTTAGAAGGTGCACTTGCGAAAAGCGTTTACAACTTTCAATTCAAGATGTTATTAATCCGTCTTTATCTGATCATTGGTAGGTTCAGTCAGCAACTACGTTGGCTGTGCATAGCCCTTTCTGTTTGCAGAATTAGATGGGTGGTTTCTAAACTGTCAATTGTAGGTTCCTTCGATCAAGCACACCGTATCTTTTCTACCATGGACGTCAAGCACATCCAGTTTGATACGTTGACGTAAGTGAAGTTTTTAACAATACTGCTGAAATCGTTTGCTTATTTTTCTCCCTTGTAGCCATTACCTGACGGATGGCTCCATGTCGCTTGGCCAATTTGACCTGTTGGCAGAAACTTTGTCTGTGGCATGCAGCATATATAAAGCCAACGAGATAGAGACCCCGGAAATGATTGTGAAAGCCTACCAATATACTACTTTCTCCAAGGTAAACTTTATATCCACGTTAATACCCAACAGAAGTTGGCAGTTCGCCTATAAGAATATACCTAATTTAACTTTGTAACGTAGATTCAAGAATTCATTGAATTCCGGTCTAGATTGGATCAATCTATCCAGCATACTTTGTTCAACATTGACCTTGCTCGTGTCGAGGCATTGCAGACTTCCTTTGCTGCCAAGTATGGTGTGCAGTTCTTTGCGGAACTTGACCCTAGTGTTTATCCGTACGATGGTATGTTATCCAAGGTGGGAGAGGAAATGGACTGCAGTCGCCATTATAACTAATTTTGATATTCTACAAGATGACAAACTTTCGAAACTATCTGACAATCGTGATTATGGTGTAATGACCGACTGCACTCCTAAGGAGGTCACATCTATAGAGGAACTGTCTCGTCCATCTAAGCGAACAAATGTACGTGCAAACCTTATACTGTATGAAGAAAGTTGGATGACCCTGGTCTTAATTTATATTCCTCCCTTTAGCCAAATTGGATCAAGATCCAGTCTCTCATTTTGAGAACAATGCATAATGTATGCGATAGCAAGTGCGAAGGTTTGGAAATTGCCTCGGAGCTAAAGGCTGCCGTAACCAATGAAGCGGTCATCAAGGACGTAAGTGGATGGCTCCAATTGGTATCTCAAACGATAATAGCAATATGGTCACTCATATATTATCTATTTTTGGCATCAAACAGGTGACTGAACAGGACGTATTCCTTGGACGCTTTGTTGCCGATGTTGTTGATGGTATCAACTATCTCAAGAATGCTGAAGCTAGCCAGCAACAAAAGGGAATCGAGCTCCTGAACAGCTGTAACCTCTCTGCTTTCAGTAAGGAATTCAAAATAGCATGTAGTTGAGCGTATATAAATGATGCTGACCTACCCATAGTCTCAAGTCAAAAAGCAATGACCGATAGCACTATCTCATGGAACTACTTCCATCAAACTTTAGCGGAAGTTGAGGTAAGCGATGAATCGAGTGGCTCAGCGGAGCTAAGATGAAATATGAATCTAAGACACATTGCGCATATAGTGTGTGGTGTATGGGTCAATCCTTTCCGAAGTCATCAAAAGGACGCTTTCGCTAGGAAAGAAGAAAAAATCGGATCCCGCTGAGACTACGGACGCAGTAAGTATCGGGAACGAGGCGAGAGCCGCCAAAATTTCGGTCTAATGATGTATATTTATTTTTTAACAACCTATAGGTCAAAGCAGCTCAGCAATTTCATAATATGGTGAAAGATGGATTTATAGAACTTCAAAAGAAGACTCGCCAGAGTAAGGATACAGTCAAACCTCAACTTCAAAAGCTGCTGTTAAAGAGATCGACTGAACACGGTACGCTGGGAGAATTTTACCAGACCAAGGTATGTAAATGTTGGAGCTATGTACAATTTAACTGCTTCATCTACTAAGCATAGCTTCCATTCAGGACCACCAAAGCTTACTATCGGATATTCTCAAGCGATTGGCGAACGGATGGAATAGTTCAGTGCAATCGTATTTGGAAGAAATTGACAAGCGATTGCAGAAGTTTTAGAAAAGATATAGTTTACGTCATAAAAAAGCTACTTTTGGGCGATCATTTTTCAATCGAAAACCGAACATTTTTTTAATTTTCGTGCGGTAGACTCTTTAGGCTCGAATTCTTAATGTCTGTTTTCAAAAACAATTCAAGACCTCAAACACCAACAGTGAGAGATGGTGATCAGTATGCTAGAGTCATCAATGGCCTCAAACACATTTACAATTCCAAAATAAAACCGTTGGAGACTACTTATAACTTTGAAGGTAAACCCACTTCTATCATGCGCATGTCTTTTTACTAGGGTTCTCTACTTTTTACTGACTACATAACAACCTTACAGGTTTCCACTCATCGCCTTTGACTAATTCTGATATAGAAGCTAAACCAATCGTTCTTCTAATTGGCCAATATTCAACTGTAAGTATTCTTTGTTCATCATGTCATCATATCTTGAACATAGTCCTCTTGGAGAGGCCGGATATAGCCGCGTGAATGTGTATATGAGAGCGGCAGTAAGCATCATGGTGGTTGACAGAAAAATAGGCATATGTTTGCTTCTTTCAGTATACTGATATGTTTCACTTGAATTAGGGCAAAACTACATTTATACGTTATTTGTTAGACAAAGCATACCCAGGTAAGATATCATTACGAAATGGTTTCATGTACGCTCCGTATACTCCTTAGGTGATGTTACTTATTGCTACCTCAGGTGAACACATTGGTGTTGAGCCTACCACCGATCGATTTGTAGCGGTTATGCATAACTCAGAGGAACGCGTGATTCCTGGTAATGCCGCCGCTGTCAATGCAGAGCTTCCATTCAGGTAAGCAGAGCCCACGGATTATGTCAAAGTGACCTACAGTAAAAGATATTGTCATTCATGTTTACCATCTCATCTCAGAGGCTTGAATAAGTTTGGACAAGCTTTCTTGTCAAGGTTTCAGGTGTCACAAACCAATTCTCCAGTGTTGGAGAACATGACCATCATCGATACCCCTGGTATTCTAGCTGGAGACAAGCAGCGTACTGAACGAGGATATGACTTTACGCAAATTATTGAATGGTTTTCTAACCGTGCCGACCTGATCATTCTCCTCTTTGATTCTCATAAATTGGATATCTCCAATGAATTCAAACTCGCCATTAATTCTTTGAGAGGACAAGAAGAAAAGATCCGAGTTATTTTGAACAAGAGCGATATGGTCAGTCAACAACAGCTGATGAGAGTGTAAGTACATACGGGTTTAAGACATTTGATTTTCATTGCACCACTCATGCTCAGGTTTACACATTCGGACTTTTAGCTATGGCGCCATGATGTGGTCTCTTGGAAAGGTTGTACAGACTCCGGAAGTAATGCGAGTCTATCTTGGTTCTTTCTGGACGGAAAAGCCACCCAATTGCTTTGAAGATTGCCGTGAACTTCTGGAGGCTGAACAAAACGACTTATTGAAGGATCTACGAGAGCTTCGCAGAAACGCAGCTATTCGAAAGATTAATGAAATTGTCAAGCGTGCCCGTCTTGCACGAGTTCATGCTCTCATCATTGGTCACCTCAAAAAGGAGATGCCATCCATGTTCGGAAAAAACAAGAAGCAAGAGAAACTCCTTGCCAATCTGGATAAAGAGTTTGTGAAGATTCAACACAAGCATCACTTGCCTGCTGGTGATTTCCCCAACCCAGAACGATTCCGCCAGAATCTATCACTGTATAATATGGACAAATTCAAGCCTTTGAAGGAGGATATCATTGCCAGAGTGGATGAAGCTCTGTCAGTTGATCTCCCCAGATTGATGTCTGAGTTCCCTCAAGGTAATCCCATGTTGGACGAGCAGCAACGTAATCCATTTGCCGGGTTAGAATCGTACGATCCACAAACCGGCAACGTTACCGAAGACTTTTGGACCTTTGCCGCGGTTGATCGTGAATCCTATACGGGTGTTTTCCATCAGATTGGACCTCGAGATGGCAAGATCAGTGGGTCTCAGATAAAGCCGGTACTGATGGAGTCCGGTCTACCCAACGATATCCTTGCTCAAGTTTGGCGATTGGCTGACTGGGACAACGATGGGTACATGGATTTGGACGAATTTGCAGTTGCTATGCACCTGATCAAGGCTGCACAGCGAAATGAGCCGTTACCCGAAAAGCTACCTCAATCCATGATGCCCGGGAGAAAACTTTAAACCGGTGGAGGTCTACCTCATCTTAAATGCTTAGAAGCGGAACGAGTGATAGGTGGATTGTGTCCACTTTACAATATACTCTTTTTCATTACATATGCAACCAATAAATGACGAAGAAGACATAATCATAATAAGATATACCTTTAAACACCATGCCTCTGCTTAATGAAACACGATCCAACTACAAATTGTAAAGGTAGCGATTAGTGGGAAATGTTTAGGATAACCATTTCCAGTAATTTTTATACTGCTTGCGGGGAGAAAGAGGGTTTTGCTTTGCACGAAACCTTTCTTTTTTGGAAAACTCCTTCAGACCGCGGTCCTGTATGACTCTAAAGTTCGGGCTTGACCGTGGAAGAGTGCCACGACGGTTGTTTACAAGCAAGCTTGGGATCCATACACATGGAAAAACAATCGCCCCGCATTCAGGCGACGTGAATCGTATCAAGATCTATCAAGGCATAATAGAAATTTGCAGTTTATCGCAAGATTCATCTCGTCAAAGCACGAGTATCTGGACAGCTTGTAGAATTGTATTATAAAATCCGTTAGATCTCAACTAAGTCCTTGCGACCGGTTTTGTACCCTGGCGGAGTTTTTTTTCTTCATATATAGCCTCTCATTTCCCGGTTGGGCTCTCCCTGTCAACTCGACTACTTTTTGTTCTACTTTTCCTAATCATGTCTGATCTATTACGCAAAACTTTTAGCAGAGCAAAGCGTCAAAGTAAGCACACCTTCTGGATATCCCTTATTCCTTTTTTCCTGAAGATCTCACCCTCCATTCACTAGATCGTCCCGCTTTTGTCGCCTTTACTACTGCAGGCTTCCCTTCTCCTGCTGAAACTGTCGATATCCTTCTTGGTTTAGAGAGAGGTGGTGCCGATGTCATTGAACTTGGTAAGTACTGTGAATGAATAGAAGAGGATGAGACTTCACAGGAGTAACCTTTATGGCGTATAGGTATCCCTTTCACCGATCCATTGGCCGATGGTCCCACCATTCAATATGCAAACACTGTAAGTGTTACTCTTACGCTGGTCATTGGTCTGGTACCACACACTAAACTAATCTTTATAACACATTAGGAATCGCTCAAGTACAATACTGATATCCCCATGTGCTTGGACATGGTTAAGACGGCTCGTTCAAAGGGTCTTAAGGTGCCCATCGTCTTCATGGGCTACTATAACCCAGTTCTTGCATATGGCGAAGAAAAGATCGTTCAAGACTGCAAGGATGCTGGTGTGAATGGCTATATTCTCGTTGATCTTCCTCCGGAAGAATCTGCAAAGTTCCGTGGCATTTGCTCCAAGCACGGACTTTCTTACGTGCCATTGATTGCACCCTCCACTACCGAGCAACGTATTCAACTTCTGGCCAACATCGCCGATTCCTTCATCTACGTTGTTTCCAAGATGGGTGTCACTGGCTCATCCTCTGAGGTCAACACCAACCTTCCTTCTATGATTGCACGTATCCGCAAGTATACCGATGCCCCCTTGGCTGTTGGATTTGGTGTTACCACTCGCGACCATTTTACAACCGTTGGTGAACACGCTGATGGTGTTGTCATTGGATCCAAGATCATCACTCTTCTGAGAGAAGCTGCACCTGGTACTGGAGCACAGCTTGTTCAACAATACGCTGCAGAGGTTAGCGGTCGCAAGGACATCGAATTGGACACTGTTGTTGATGATACGACCGATGCTCCTGAAATCACCGACATTGCTGGTAAGGGTATTGTAGTGCCCACGGAAGATACTGCCAACGGATTTTATGCTATGCCCACTCGCTATGGTGAATTTGGCGGTGCTTATGTCCCAGAGTCTTTGGTCGACTGTCTCACCCAGCTTGAGAAAGCTTATATCGAGGCTAAGCACGATCCCGAGTTCATCAAGGAATTTGAATCGTACTATGACTATATTTCAAGACCTTCTCAACTTCAACTCGCTGCTCGACTTACAGAAGACGCTGGCGGTGCTAGAATCTGGCTCAAGCGTGAAGATCTCAACCACACTGGTTCACACAAGATCAACAATGCCGTTGGACAAATTTTGCTCGCCAAGCGCATTGGTAAGAAGCGTATCATTGCTGAGACGGGTGCTGGACAACACGGTGTGGCCACTGCCACCGTTTGTGCTAAATTTGGTTTGGAGTGCACTGTCTATATGGGAGCTGAGGATTGCCGTCGTCAAGCTTTGAACGTTTTCCGTATGAAGATGTTGGGTGCCACCGTCGTTCCTGTTGAAGCTGGATCTCGTACCTTGAAGGATGCTATCAACGAAGCCATGAGAGACTGGGTCACCAACGAGTCCACCACACATTATCTTGTCGGTTCCGCCATCGGACCCCACCCCTTCCCCATGATTGTCCGAGACTTCCAATCTGTCATTGGTCAAGAATCTAAACTCCAAATGCAGGAAAAGGCTGGCAAATTGCCTGATGCCATTGTCGCTTGCGTTGGTGGTGGCTCTAACTCCATTGGTCTCTTCCACCCTTACATCGAAGACAAGAATGTTCGTATCGTTGGTGTTGAAGCAGGTGGTTCTGGTGTGGATACTGAACACCACTCGGCTACTCTTACTATTGGTACCCCTGGTGTCTTGCACGGAACCCGTACTTATCTTCTCCAGGATAGCAAGGGCCAGATTCTCGAAACCCACTCTGTCAGTGCTGGACTTGATTACCCCGGTGTCGGACCTGAACACGCTTGGTTGAAGGATAGCGGTCGTGCTGAATACGTTGTTGCTGATGATACTCAAGCTCTCATTGGTTTCCGTATGCTTACTCAACTCGAAGGTATCATTCCTGCTTTGGAATCTGCACATGCTATCTACGCTGCACACAAGCTTGCCAGTGAGCTTCCTAAGGATCAGGATGTCCTTGTCTGTCTTTCTGGCAGAGGTGATAAGGATATGCACACTGTGGTCGAGGTGCTACCTACCATTGGACCCAAGATTGGCTGGGATCTCCGATTCTAAGTTTTAAGTGTCCTTGGACAATGACTTCATCACTGGATGCTTAAATTTTTCTTGTCGCACTTCATACATACACAACACCCCCCCATTCCAATTTCACACACCCTATCACATACACTCGCCACCCCCAACCCTTTATCCAACAGTAGAACCGAGAAGAAAAGAATGAGACATACTTCAAACTCTTTTATTGTATTACTAGAAATATAAAAAAATATGTGCCTGTACAGAAAACAAAAAATACATAGCTGAGATCATTCGTTTCAGTTGGTTCGTCAAGACAGTGAAGATCACTTGTTACTAAACCCACGGTGTCTGTCAGCTGTTTCTATTCATGCGAGTATCTTTGAGCCTTCACTACACTTGAAAGCCCGTTAATGTCAGGGCTTGTAAGATCTATATATAAATTGCATTGTAAGCCCTTTTTTCTGGGAAGAGAAGGCGTCACTCCTCTGGTCAAGCCGAGACGACGTGGCTGTGGTATTTTTTGGATTCTTTATAAACACAGGCCGACCTGGCCCTCCCTATTTCAGCTAGCCAAACAAACCACATTATGGTGCCTGACTACAGAAGCGACTCTGTCGCAAAACGACGAATCCGCCAAGCAAGAGTCGTCCTTCGAGGGTTGTATTTCCTATGTTCAGCTATGACGCTGACAAGCTGTGTTATAGCACTCGTGATTTATAGCGAAAATGCCAGCCAGTTTCCAGAGCCACTGGAAATATGGCCAACCATAATGGTGCTCATTGTGGCCAGCATCTCGTTTGCACTTTGTCTCTCTGTCATACTATCCTACTTCTGTACTCGTGGCGGGGTTAAAACTGCCAATGTGATAGACCGATATCGATTTTTTTTCCATTGGAGTACGATATTGGGGTTCATCATTGTATGGGCAGTCACCACTTCCGTCTTCCACGTCAAGAGTGGTCAGCCACAAGACCTCTGGGCGGCAACTTGCACGGCGGCCAAGAATGACCTTATTGAAGGCAATGATATTTGGACGATATGTACGGCTTCGATTTGGATTAGTGGTTGCGGATTCACCAACGTCGGCCTTCACGTGTTCGAGCTCGTTGTGTCTCTGAGTATATTACCTTTGCAAGCTCTTCGCATGAAACTTAAGCGAGACATTGATCAAGCTGAGCGAACCCCCATGTCATCCTATATGGACGAAGCCACTCCATTTGAACCAAAATCCTTGGATGAAAGCTGGCACCGAGTGGATTATGAGGATCGGTTCCGCAAAGTGGATAATCATAGCTTTGACAGCATTAAGCTTCAAGTTGCTTAAGGGGTCCTCTCTCCTGTATTTGTAAATTCTCATGTCCTTTCTTGTCTCTGTACTAGTATTTTAATTCGTTTCTGTAAAAAAAAGAAAAAACCAAAAAAAAGCAATCGTTTCCATGGTCCAAGGTCTTCCTGTAATGCGCAAAGTTGCGTTGTTTCATCGTCATGACCACCGAATTAATTGCGTGCCGTGAAGCGAGAAGACGGTGGTACACACAAACCCAGACATTTGGAGAGATGTGGCAAAATTCGTAACGTTTGTACGAAAAAGGGCAGAATATGATTACCTCCCATTGTAAAGACCGCAAGCAATACTTTTGAACTCACCCCAAAAAAAATTTTTTTTTTATTAACGTCTATCATTGCTTGCTGGTTTCCTATTTATATTTGCTTTGTAATGTTGAAATATAATATGAAGCAAGGAATGAAAAACTCCACTCCTGCAAGGAAAACATTTAGCCTTGATGATTACATAAAGGACATTGGCACCTTCTTTTCTTTGCCAATGCGGTTTGGCGGCCCGGCTGACCGGATTCTGCGGATCATCAATATGATGAGCAAACAACCCAATCATTCGGATTTAAAGCGGTTTGCCTGAAGTTACCTGTGTCCCCTCCCCCCCCTTTCCAATCCAATGGAAGTTTGGGGAAGAAAAGTATGTTATTGCGAAGGAGTACCAAATAAACAAAGTTCTCTTCAGCACATTAGAGTTTTTTCATACCACCATTTCTTCCCTCTCTCCCCCAAAGCAGCTCGCCACCCCATCGGCGAACGATGGTATCATTCCAATGTCGATCGTTCACGAGGATAGAGACAACGATGAGAAAAGGAAAAAGTGAAAGGGACTGGCTGCTGCTAAAATGACATGCTATTATAGATCGGGTTTACGATCTCATATTTAACTCTGAGATTAAGTTATAGGATGATACTCAGCAGTATCACCCTTGCCCCACTGCACTGCACTGCGATGCTCTGCTCTGCTCCCCCAACTTGCCAGTCTTTTTCGGCCATTTGCCGATGACTGAACTTCGTTTCTTACCAACAATAAATGAAACAGAATGACTGAGCAGCTTTCTTCCACTTTTATTTCCCACTTTTATTTCCCACTTTCTGCCTACGTTTTTTCTGGGAACATATCCTATTTACGATACAAGAAGTTCACTTGTGAAATTATTTGTCCCTCTCTTCCTTTGTTTCTCCTTCCTTCGTCTTTCACTTTGCCACAATTTTCATGCAAAACTCGCCATACAGCCGACCTCCGGACTACAGCTGGTACGCACGTCGACATCGAATCAGCTGCCCCTTCAATGTCTAACTTCACCCACTCACCTTTCTTGACCCACCCCCCTCACAGGCTTAGGCTGATGGTTAGGCAGCAACCAGTTCATGCTAGGCTTTGTAGCTTTAAGGAGAAAGGTAATCAAACAAACCCACTTCTATTCCAGGAAATGACTTTCACGCCTTATTTATTCATCGATCGCTCGATTATTTGAAATAGTTGATAGACGGCCAATTGACCCACCACCCATCGTTCAGCTTGTATGCGACAGTCCTGAAATTGATCAGCAGTAAGCAAAAAATTCTACCGCTTTCCTTTCCCCAACGGGAGATGCCCTCGTGTGCGAACGCTAACAAATGTCAAAAAAAAAAAAAATGTAAAAATTAATAGACATTTCCTGCAAAATCCCTTCTTTTTTCTCGTATGCTCATTACAGAATGCAAATGACTATGACACCCAAGGCAGTCGAGTGGATTGTAATCAAACGACGGCTGGAACAGTTGTACAGTCTCTCCATAAGCTCAAAGACTTGGATGGATCTGGTAAGATAGATTGTCACCAAAAAAAAACCAGCAGCATAAATTTCACATGGGAATTTATCCTAATGAGATGTTTTATTGTTTAGATGGTGGATTCTTTCTGTTTTCAGACATATCTGTCCGAGTCGAAGGTCACTTTCGATTACGATTTACTTTATTCGAGATTGTTGGGTAAGCTGAGTTGCCGAAGGGGTGGATGGGAAGCGTTTGGGGGCAGCCATCGGAAACAGCGTAGGACTATCCGGAATGGTAGCAGTAATTTAAGTTTTTTTTTTCTCATTTTCGTCCATCCACAGAACCCGCGCTGTAAGGCTTACCAGCACGCTTTCCGATGTGTTTCAAGTTTATTCACCCAAATTATTTCCTGGCATGGCAGGTAAGCAAACGGATCGGAGGGGAGGGGATTGAGGGAAAAAAAAAAAAAAAAAGGAATGGGATGGGATGGGGATGGAATGCCTCACGGAGAATATCATGTCTCACCAAAGTCATCTCAGAATCCACCCTCTTGACACGCCATTTGTCTGACCAAGGAATGAGAATTCGAATTCGTAAAGAAAACCGGGTACAACTCAGGTACAAACTACTTTGGTTAACTGACTTGCAAAAATGCCAAATTGAAACTGAAACTACCCCATTTTATAGCAAGCGGAAACGCTCTGAAGATGTTGGTTCAGTCGACGACGCCAGCTGTTCTCAACCTCCTAGTCCCGTCACATCCAATTCTCATCCTTCGCCACCGTGCGTAACACCCGATCGAACACCCGTCCATTACCCTATCGCCACACACCATCATCATAATACACGTTCAATATCACCGTCCGAACATCAGGTTCGACTGCCGCCTCTCAAACATCTTCTCCAAGCTCTTCCACATCCTTTCACGGGAAACGACACCTATTCTTCATTGAGAGAACCTGTGCCAACCGCCTACCATTGGCCTGTGGCTCCTGGAAGGTCCAGTACCTACTATGTTGGTGACCCTTGAAAAAAAAACCCAACCCCACCCTGAATGATTTAGAAAAAAAGGATGATAGCCTACCCCTCTTCCCCATCACCTATTCAGAATACCCTGTAAATAGAATTAAAGTTGCTCACGTTTTTTTGACCTACCCTCCATTCTTTGGCCTGCCCTGAGCCTGATAATGGGTGCCCCAGCGCGAACGTCGGAGTGCTAAAACCGAAGCGATGTTTGCGGTCACCTGCTGAGTGCTCATTCGCTGTTTCCTTATTTGTCAGCTGAGTTGGATAGCCGCGCCTCCGCCCGAGCTCTGCCTTTTCTCACCACCCAATCGTCCCATTAAAATGAATAATCTGGCACAAATGCCTGGCGACCAGAAGCGTACATTCAGAGACACATCACAACGTGGTGCGTCTGGAAAAGGAGCTATCCCTACCATGGTGAATCAGACTGGTTTGGAGGAGGATTCTGACGATTCAGACAAACCTGCCAAGCGCTCGGGAAGACGCAAGATCAAGATTGAATACATTGAGGATAAGAACAGAAGACATATCACATTTTCTAAACGTAAAGCTGGTATTATGAAAAAGGTAAATATTTCCATTTCGATCTAGAACAAGCAAGCATCGTCCTTTTACGGTGGAGGATAGCCTTGGAACCGATGGCACGCATAAGCTGGGGGTGGGAGGTGTTGAAGCCAACGGCACAGCAACAACATCGACACTGAACGTCTTGACCCTCCATTTGACTCGACTGGCAGGCAGGAATTAACTCAGTTGCCATAAACGTGTATCTCCATCTCTAAAAAAGTTCAGAGGCTAGTGACAAATATGTATTCCGATTGTTCACCTCAAATGGGTTTTCTTTTTCTTTTTAGGCGTATGAGCTCTCGACTCTGACCGGCACGCAAGTCCTTCTATTGGTCGTTTCAGAAACAGGGCTTGTCTATACTTTCACCACCGTCAAGCTTCAACCTATTGTTACGAAACCTGAAGGCAAAAATTTGATTCAAGCCTGTCTTAATGCACCCGATCCTCAACAGGAAAATCCTGTAAGTCACCAACACCCTGCCCCAAACCATAGACCTTGCATAGCTCACACTCCCTGGTTTAGGCCCCCGAGTTCTCAGATAGACGTGGTAGTTCTTTGCCTGAACCTGAACCGCAGGAGAATGCTTATGCGGATGAGAGACCGGTAAGTTCTCCCCTGTTTTTTTTTTTTTTTCCTATATGACCCATAGCTCACCTGCTGTCTAGAAACAGGAGCAACCCACTCCCCAAATGTCCTACTCTCAAGCTGGGTATGCCCCTCCCCCTCCGCAACAGATTAATTCTGGTAATGGCTATACACCCTATGCAATGAACCCTTCCTATCAGCAGCAATATCCTGGCCAAGTGCCTTACTATGGCAACCAGCAGTACATGCCTCAAGCTCAAGCTTACTGGGGAGGTGACCAGCCTGATAATCTCAAGGACAAGAATCCTGCCTATGGCCAACCTAATAAAAAGAAATAGTGGGTCTTTTTATAAACAGTGAGCCAAGGAAAAAAAAAAGGATGTGGTGCAACACATTCGTCCCGCATTTTTTTGGGCAAACCCCCATTGTCTAGCTTAACCTCTCTACCAACCTCTTAGCTACTATCTTTTTCCCCTCCCAACCTTGTTTCCCTCTCTTCTTTATTTCTGTATTTTCTGTAGTTGTCTGATATACTGGTTTCTTGTACCTATGATCTTATAAAATATTCTCTCTACTATGCTCTCTTCTACTTTAGGACCAGCCCGTTTTCGGATGTTTCTCGGAGGCATCTGCCCATTTTGAGTAAATACCCACATTAGTTCGGCTTCTAGTAATCTCATTTGCTTACCTTAGAAGGCAGCGCGGCGCCTGTGACGGACCTGACCTGACTGATCTGTAAAATCTCAGGGCCCCTCCCCCAAAAAAAAACCTAGTGGCACCCCTACAGCCTGTTCGTAGGGTTGGAATGTGGATGCGGTATTTTTACCTTTGGAATTTGCAGAGGCGTTGACCACCTGACAACTCTCCATTGGTCCGCCACAGCGGTTAATTCCTTTGCTACGGTGGCCTTCTTTTACAACAGGGCTCACCGAGGTAAACATTGACGCAAAAAGTTATTTGCAGTGTTGCTGATTGCCTGCATGGTTTAAAGTTTTGAGAGCATTCTATATTGGTATTTATGGGAGATATCTTCTGTCCGCCTAGCTCAAAGTTTTTCTTGTGATCCCCAATTGTTCTTTGAGCGATGTTGCACACTAACTATAAAGTTAAGCCAAGGGAGAGGAATGAGCAAAGTTGACGGACTTCGAGATGGCATGGCATACAGTAGAAGAATGAGCATATCTTATTTTTAACATATTTTAGTAAAATGGTGAAAAGCGCATGGCTCCAAGCTGCTGCATAATGGTAGGGCCATGCTGGCCAAAATGCTGTGCCAGCCTGGCAAAATTCCAGCCCCGCTTGAGCAGTCAGTCGCCTCCATCCCAAAAAAAAAAAAAAATTACAGTCTCGATTGATCGATTCAATTCATATATTGACTACTCTCCAATGGCAACCCCTAAGCCTGAAGTGGATCCTCATGAACTCGCCCAGTATGCTGCGCGCATCAGTGAACATTTGAAAGAACTCGAAGCTTCTGTCGACCAATGGCGAGAATACCGTGACGATTACAAACAGCTCGGCCAATTACTGTCTACACTGCCAGACAAGACTTCATACGATATCATGGTACGTATATATGAACTAGTACGAACGGACGCATTTCACTGGCTAATCTGTCCTTGAAGGTACCCATCGGCAAGCTCGCCTTCATGCCTGGTCGGATCGTTCACACAAACGAAGTGCTTGCTTTGTTGGGAGATAACTGGTTCGCCGACGTTTCAGCCAAAGAGGCAGCTGAAATTGTCGCCAGACGACAACAAGGTAATTTTTACTAGAGATGAATCAAATTAGAGGCTGACGGTGCTGAACATGAATATTCGGTGTAGTGGTGGAGGAAAATCTAAGCATGGTGGAAACTCAACTAAATGAAACCAATGCAAGAGCTGGTGCTGCTCCTGGTGTGTTCAAGGCAGAGCAATACGGAGTAAGTAGTGTAAAGGATTTTATATGGATGGCTATGTATGACTCGCCAACCTATATTGACCGTCTGATGGTTATCTAGCTGAATGAGCAAGGCTTACCGTTCATGGAAATCAGAGAGGAACTGCCGGATGAAAATGGGCAAGACGAGACTAGTCCTAGCAGTGTTCCCAATTCTGTGGAGGCAGCTAGAAAACTCCAGCCATTGGAAAAATCAAAGGCGGAAAAGCTGGCCGATCAAGCGTTACTAGAAAAGCTCAAGGCATTGGAGTTGGAGGAAGGCGACATCTCAGACGAAGATCAAGAAGAGAAAGTTGCTCATGATGACGATGACGATCTCGACATGTTGAGTGATGACTATGACACAGAGATTGCTGAAAATATGTTTGACCAATTCGATGATGACGAAGAATACGCCATGGACGGTGTGGTGGACGAGGAAGATTATACATACCACGATTTCCAAGAAGAGGAAGCGGCGTCAGATGTGGAAGCTATGGACACTATAACAACACCAAGTGTCCAACATGCCATGGACCGCGCTGCAGCAGATGCACCAATAAGCATGCCCGTGCCAGATCCATCACCACTCGTTGATACAGTCAAAGAACGAGTGGAGGAACCAACGCTCATTGTACCTGGCGATGTAAAGGGTAAAAAAAGGACAAAACCCATCATAAAGCCCCGAGTATCTCGTTTCAAGCAAAATCTCGCACAACAACAAGCTCCCACCGACGAAGAAAAGTCTCCAAAAAAAGTATCATGGGGCCCAGATATCATTCATGAACACCAGGCAGCAAAACCCTCTCAGCAAGTTGATGAAGATGAGCTTGAAATCCAGCAGATTCCCAATGAACCAGTCTACAATATCAGATCACCGGCAGACATTTACCATCAGTTGCTGGATCAACGAATGGCAGAACAAGCTAGTCAAACAGATAATGAACCAGTGGACGTACAAAGTCTGTTGAAAGACGCTGCTATCATGAAAGAAACCATTTACATGCCATCGGAACGTGATATTCCGCAGGTCACTACCAGTCCAAAAAAGAAGGTCTCTCGATTCAAACAGCAACGAGACCAGGATCGATCCAGTGATAGCATAGCTTCTCCTCCCGCTTTGCAGCAAAGTAAGCTGGATACCTCCACTATGCGAGGTGCGGTTGTGGAAAAAGAAACAGAGGATGTGGATTTGGAGGAGGTTGAAGACAATATGCTTGAAAAAGAGGCAAGTTTTCCCTTTCACAAGCCGGGCTATTTCACTAATGTTAACCCTGTGTCCCCCTTTCTCCAGGTGGCGGCAGAATATCAGCGCAAGAGACAAAACATGATCGCAAGTCAGGGGGGTTTTTCATATGCAAACAAACCTGAATTTGAGGTAAAAAAAAAAAGGACCCCATTTTGATTCCATGCACGCCATTGTTTTGCTAAAGTCTTGTGCATATGACAGGTGTACGATGATGAACTCCCATTACCTAGTAATGATCCCAAACGTTCTGTACCTTCCGTGGAAGTCGAAGAAAAACCTAAACGAGTATCAAAGTTCAAGGCAGCCAAATTGGCGTCCAAAGCGCAACGACCTCAATAGAAAAAAAACAGCCCTTTATGCCATAGATGCAAACATTCTCATACAACTTGTATATTACACTGTTTCTAGAAATTGTTCATATTTATCATGGATTGCTTTGCTGTGGTTATTTTTCAAAACATCATGGTTTGTTTCGTATGTGTAACTCCAACCTGATATTTTGTTATGACGATGCTGTCAACATGCAAGTATAACTTTTTGTCAGGCCGTTGACTGGCATATTTCACCCGATAAATTCTGTTATCTGAAATTTTATGCATCGACGAATTTTCCCACTCGCGCCAACATGAATCGCCTTGAATTCTTTCATTTTTCCAAGTCTGGGGTATGACGTAAATAAGCTGTAACCATCTTAGTTGCCTTTTTTGAAAAGCAGTTTCAGGCACATTTGAATCTCCAAAATTGCAAAACCAAAAAAAATTTCCTCTTGCTTTAGCATTCTTCGATGTTCAAGCTGACTCCCGGCGATGCCAACTCGCATTTGCCAGAAGCTGAACAAGTCAACGCTACCGCTCCAGACAACCAGCAGCCGCCGTCAGAAGCCGCTGAATCAACAGGGACTTCAGACAATGTAGATACCACACAGCAAAGAACCGAGGGCCAGCAGGCTCAAAATGGCCTACCTCCAGCCCATCATCAAGATCAAAATACCAATGGCAAGGCTCCTACTGAGAATGGCTCTGCTCCCCATGCCGCTTTCGATGACACAGCAGAAAGGCCGTCCATGGTGGACAAAGTGAAAGGAGTGATGAGCGGAGGATTCTCAAAGAATAAACGCCCACAGCTGAATACCAGAGACTTGACGTTTTGGGACAGTGATCTCAACTCGGAAGATATGGATACCACCAGCATTAGCGATCTTCGAAAAACCAAGTCTAATACTTCTCAAACCCGTCGCAAAAAATCCAACGCCGCTGCTCGATCTGACAACCGAAACAGCGTTGGTGTTGCTTCTCTCCGCTCGTCTCTTTCTGGACGCTCCAAGCCCTCGGAGAATGCAAATTCGATAGAAATGAATGAGAAGAAGGACGTCGACAACAGGGAACCCAACAAAAATGAGGGTGCTACTGGTGATGCTTCGACCTCCTCTGCTGTCAATTTCAGTGAGAAGACCATGGATCAGCCTGACGATACCTCAACTCAGCCATCAAAGAATGCGGCAAATAGATGGGGCAAACTACGAAACACCATCCGATTTCAGAATCAGCTCCAATCTAAAGGTCGTTCAAACACGGACGCTCTTCGTGAAGCCAAACGTAATAGAACTGGAGCAGACGTTATTACGGAAAACTTGCTCAATATTCAGCCTGCCATGATTATCGGCATGGCTATGCAACGTGATGAACACAAATCGCCAAGAATTCCCGTTGTTTTATCACAACTTAAAATTCGCATCACTGATTCCGAAGAGCCCTTGAACCGAAGCCGAGCGACATTCCGCATCGAACTTGAGTACGGTGATGGGCTAATGAAATGGGTCATTCAGCGACGGTACCGAGATTTCCTCAATCTTCACTATAGTTATCGCCGCTACGATCCCACCCGAACTCGAATCAAGGGTTTGCCCAAGTTTCCCAAACACAGTTTGCCTTACTTTATCGGCTATCGAGACGACGATGACGCCTCGTCCTCAGATCTGGAAGACGATGTAGAGGATGACGACGTTGCCCGCAGAGCATCACGAAGCGAGGATAATATTGCTTTGAAGAAGTTGGCGGGTCACCTTAATGCCGGCGACAATGACTCTGACGACCCTCGACGACCCAACATCAACCACCATAATACTTCGTTTTTCTCGTTCAGATCCAACCACTCGGGTGATCATGCCGTACAACAGGCCAAATTCTCCGCTGAACAAAGAAAGACGCTAGAGAGTTATTTGATAGATCTTACTCGCTGTCTCATGTTCCGTGGTGAAGCCAATCGTCTTTGCAAGTTCTTTGAAATCTCAGCTCTTGGTGTTCAACTAGCAGCGGATGGTGGTTATCAAGGAAAGGAAGGGTACATGATGGTGGAGCGTCGTAGTGATCAGATCCCTTCTGCGCATCGAGCTGCTTTCTGTGGAGTACACTTCAAGAATATTCACAAACGCCTGACCCCCAAGTGGTTCTTGACAAGACATAGCTATATTGCTTGTGTGGACGAGCCTGATTCTGTAAGTTTCAAACTTTTTGGACTAGTGGTACATGGGGTGTGCTCGATGAAGCCAGTCCTTTTTTTATTATTTTTTATTTTTACTGACCCTGTCCTAGTCGATCATTTATGATGTTCTTTTAGTGGACAGCGAATTCAAAGTTGAACGCCACAGAAAGCATGCTAATACCCTTGAGGTTCAAAACTCACAGCGAGTCATGCATCTTCGGGCCAAAAACGAAACTCAAGCTACCCAGTTTTACAACTCTCTAAAAGAACTCGAATCAAACTGTATCTGGAGAACTCCCAACCAGCGCTTCGATAGTTTTGCGCCTATTCGCTACGACTGTAACGCACAGTGGCTCGTGGATGGCAGAAATTATTTCTGGAACGTTGCAAAAGCCATTGCCAACGCTAAGGAGGAAATCTACATCCATGACTGGTGGTTGTCTGCAGAACTTTACATGCGACGACCGGCTGCTCATAACTTCAAATGGAGATTGGATCGTCTTTTACAGCGCAAGGCCAAGCAAGGTGTCAAGATTTATATTATCATGTACAAGGAAGTGTCTATCACTTTGCCTCTCTACTCTCACTATGCAAAAGAACATTTGCTATCTCTCTCTCCAAATATCTTCGTCATGCGACATCCTTCACATCTTGGTATAGCTGGCAAGACTGCTACCTTTTTCTGGGCTCACCACGAAAAAATTTGTGTGATTGATAACCATCTTGCTTTTCTCGGCGGAATTGATCTTTGCTTTGGTCGCTGGGATACGCCTACTCACGTCTTGGTCGATGAACGCGATGCCAAACTGGACAAGAACGTCAAAAACCCCCAAATATGGCACGGCAAAGATTACTCTAACCCTAGAATCCTCGACTTCCATACCCTTGACAAGCCTGAAGAAGACAATATGGATCGTGACAAGATTCCTCGCATGCCATGGCACGACATCTCAATGCAAGTCGTCGGCCAACCTGCTCGAGATGTGGCCCGTCACTTTGTTCAACGATGGAATTTCTTGAGATCCAAGAAAGCTCCCAAGCGTCCAACCCCTTACCTTCTTCCTAAGCCTGACTACACTCCTGCTGAGCTTAAAAAACTCAATTTGACGGGTACATGCGAAGTTCAAATCCTACGCTCCTCATCAAGCTGGAGTATCGGCTACCGTGATCGTGTTGAGCATAGTATCCATGATGCCTATGTCAAGAGTATTCAGGAATCAGAGCATCTGGTCTATATAGAGAACCAGTTCTTCGTCACTTCCACCGTCATTGGAAACACTACGGTTGAAAATAAGATCGGTGATGCTTTGGTGGAGCGTATCCTTCGTGCTCACGAGCAGGGTGACAAATGGCGTGCCATTATTGTCATTCCCCTGGTACCGGCTTTCCAGTCCAATGTCGACGAACCTGACGGTATGTCAATTCGTATGATCATGATGTGCCAATACAGATCCATTTGCCGTGGCGAACATTCTATCTATGGTCGCTTGAAGGCTAAGAACATCAATCCTGACGACTATATCACGTTCTACTCTCTTCGCAACTGGGGAAGTCTCGGTGGAGAGTTCGTTACGGAACAAGTGTACATTCATGCTAAGGTAAGCTACTGGCTACTCAGCGATGTGCTGAATTTCTGGGATTTTTTTTTACTTGTTGCTCAACGGATTTCTTCATTTATTAGACTATGGTTGTTGATGACCGTATTGTTATTATTGGATCTGCCAATATTAATGAACGCTCTCAGAGAGGCAATCGTGATTCTGAAATTGCCGCTTATGTGCGTGACTCCAACATGGTTGAATCTCGTCTGGGTGGCAAGCCCTATCAAGTCGGCCACTTTGCTCACACCCTTCGTCTTCGTCTCATGCAAGAACATTTGGGTGTGGACGTGGATGCCATCGAAGTTGAACAAATCCAAAATGGTGACATTGATTACGTTCAATTTGGAAGCGACGAGGAGGAGGAAGATGACGAGGAGGATCAAGGCAATGATGGCCGTGGTCAGGAGGATGAAGCTGTCGAAAACGAAGCTAGAATGGACAAGTCTCTACATGACATCGGTGAAAACCGCAGTGACCGCTCTGGAGATGCCTTTGATCATGAAAAGCGTGGTGAGAACGAACCAACTGACGAAGATTGGCCCAAGGTTCCCGTTGAAGGCGATTGGGATGAAGGCGAAGCCAAAGCAAGCAACGAAAGAACAGCTGAAAAGCAAGAAAAAATGTCCGACCAGTTTGCTTCAGGTGCTGGAAAACGTGTGGGACCTGCTCATGAAACAGAAAACAAGGACTCGGCTCAGGGTACACAAGCTGGTCCAACAGACAGACAATCTTCCATGTCAGCACCAAATGAGCACCGGTCGGAGGCTGTACGTGTTGTGCCTCCAACTGACCCATCTTTCAACGAACAGTCTGAAGCTGACGCCAGTGCACCATCTCAAACCAAGCCAGGAAATGACCAGTCTCCAGCTTCTGAACAACAGCAGGCAAGCTCACAACCGCTATCTCCGGTACCTAGCAACACTTCAACGGCAGCAGGACTTGTGTCACATATCAACGTGGATCAAAGTAACATCTTGACCCAAGATAACAGCAGCACATCCTCGCAAAAACAACAGCAGCAGGAAGCACGCGTAGCAAGTGACCGAGAAAAGGAACAGAAATTCTGGAAGAGCGTCCAAATGGATGATGTCAGTACGGATCCTCTGCCCAGCCTTGATATTGATCTCCTTATGGACCCTCTGGATGACGATTTCTTCATCCATCTCTGGCAGCGTACCGCTAATCACAACACGGATTGTTACCGCCGAGTCTTCTTGGCCGTCCCAGACGATAATGTAACTACATGGGCACGCTACAAGGAGTTCAAGGAAATGACGGAGAAAGGTTTGATGGGACACCACGACCTCTCTGACCTCCATGGCTCTCATCATGCAGCGAATGTTGCAGAAGGCGGTGATATCAAAGATGGCGAAGTCGATCCTCGTGGCAAAGCGTTGGTTGAAACCACTGGCAAAACAGAAGAACAGGTCAATCAACAAGTTCACCGTATCGAAGATATTCTCGCTGAAATCAGAGGCAACTTGGTCATATTTCCAACCAAGTTTATGGAGGCTGAAGATGACCGTAATGACTTCTTATTTAACACTGACAAACTCGCTCCCATTGATATCTTTGATTAGTACTACTTATGAAATACCATCCATTATATTATTGTAATTTATTTTTTTACTTCTTGTAAGCGTACCCTACATAAAAAATGATAGCCCTCCAAGTCCTTTTTCTCAAAAATGGAAACGTACCACCTCTCTGCATATAATGGCTTTATGAGTGTGTTACCAGTTCAAAATGTACGCAACTAGGCCTTGTTACTTGTTTGCGTTTCGGCACGGCTTTGCGTCAGATAGGCTTGGATTCTCCATCAGCCCTATGATAGCCACTCATGGGCTGAAGGCACTTTTGTCGCGTCCTGCACCGCCTTTCATATGTGCCTGTGCTCACACAAGAATCCAGAAAATTTCTTGGCGGAGCCTCGTTTCTCTCAAAATATGATCGTCTACTTGCTTCTTTCTGAGTTCCGGGAATTCCTAAAGTCGTTACACAGTGCCTATTTTCAACAACCATTGTCCAACAAGTTTGCAACAGCCACTGAATCACAATATTCTTCTAATTCTTCAGAATCCACAGAGGATTAGAAAATAACCTCCCAATCAAATCACTTCTTCATACATCTCTAAATTTATCAACTTGCCCGCGCCATGAAACCATCCTTTTATTACATCCTTCACACTATATCTTTCCCCTCTTTAGCCCTTTTCATTCATTGCCTACACTCACTTTCACCATGCGCTCCCTTATCCTCATCGCCGCTCTCGCCCTTGCCTCTGTGAACGCAGCTACTACCACTGCTGAAACAACCACCACCACCACGGCCGCAGCCACTCACACCACCACCACTAAAGCTCCCGTCACCACCACCACCACTCCTGCTGCTGTCACTACCACAAAAGCTCCTGCTACCACTTCAGCTGCTGCTACTGCTGCACCAACGTAAGCACCCAATTCACACGACAATGCTATTCAATTTATGCCCAACTAATTTGCCACTATTATAGCTACGTTCCTACTGGCACTTTCGTCTGGAAGCAAACCTACCCTGCTCCTGGCTCTGTGCCCGTTCCTAAGCCTGAATGGGTTGCTGCTTTGGATACTTCCAAGATTGCTGCTGCTCCTGTTATTGCCCTTACAAATGGATCTCCCGTCAACCCCACCCCTGGATCTGATCCGTACTGCGACTGGACCTTCGGTGGCTGCACTCGTGCTGATGATATCTACCAGTGCAAGAAGGGTGACTGGGGTCTTACCTATGACGACGGTCCCACTGGCTTCAGCCCTACGCTTTATGACTACTTGGATAGCATTAACCAAAAGGCCACCCTTTTCGTCATTGGTGGACAAGTTTTGCAATTCCCTGAATTGGTCCAGCGCGCATACAAGGCTGGTCACGAAATCGCTATCCACGGCTTCTCTCACTCCTACTTGACCTCCCAGACCACCGAGCAAATCGTTGGTGAGCTCAGATGGACTGAAGAAGCTATTAAGGAAGTCATTGGTGTTTCTCCCAAGCTCTTCCGTCCTGTAAGTTTTTTTTTTTTTTCCAATTTTTACATTTGTTTTGGCAACATCATCCATTCTAACTCACACTCTAATTCCCTTGTTTAGCCTTATGGTGATATCGATAACCGTGTCCGTGACATTGCCCTTCAGTTGGGTTACACTCCCGTCATCTGGAACCACGATACTGACGATTGGAAGATCAGCGAAGCTGCCGGCTTCGATCCCACCTGGATTGACGGAAACGCTACTGCTTGGGCTGCTGAGGCTGCTACTGCCGCTGTCGGTGGTCTTTCCCTTGAACACGATTTGTACCAGGGAACTGTCGATGCTGCCATTCGCATCTTGCCTGTCCTCAAGAAGGCTTATAACGTTATTCCCGTCGGTACTTGCGCCGGTCTTGCCAGCGTCTACAAGGAGGGTGTTACCACCGCTAATGCCACCACCGCCAACACCACCGCTGCTGCCTCTGGCTCATCTGGTGCATCTGCATCAGGCGTCAACGCTGCCGCTTCTGGAGCTGCTACCACCAAAGCTACTTCTGGTGCTTCCATGGCTACCGCTAGTGTTGTGACTGCCGCCGCCGCCGCTGCTGCCGCTTTCATGCTCCTCTAAAGCCGCCGTCGTTTCGCTGCTTCTTATCTAACCACCACATCTCCTCTAGTACACATACCCACACTGTACACTTAAAATAAATTTTTTACAATAGGCATGTTTCTGTCATACAGAATAACATCTTTCCTGTTTTCCTTGTATTTTTGTCACACTGCCTAGTCAATACTATTTTTAATAATGAGATTTGTTCTATGTTTAAACGTCTGACTGAATGGAAAGAAATTTGTTCTGGGCGGGCGGTTTTTTAAATGCGGTCTCAGGACAATTGGGTCCGCAAATAACACCGTAAATCTACGCGGCTGTGCAGATTGCATATGTGCAGTCGCCTATGATTTTTTGCTATTAAGCAAAGGTGAACCCAAGTAATGCACTTAACTGACGCTAGGGTCCAGAGTTTCATACAGTGGGAGAGGCGTACCTTCAGGTCAGCTAGCTGTAACGATATAAATGATCGCCATGCACCGTATTCGTAAGCTTCGGGAGAGAAAAATTCATTAATTCGTTGTGTTGTGAACCGAGGATGCTCTCTTGATTTTTTCAGCTTTTATCTAATTACAAATAATGCTAAGATATTGTTTTCGCCAGCTGTCGGCTGCTGCCATGTTAAATGAGCTGCCATTTCAGGAACCGAGATGATCGCCATCTCAGACAACTTGATGTGTTTACGTTTTTCGTCTGGATATGACCATATTGCCTCTCGCGTTGACAACATTTAAAATTTCAGGCAATTTACTGGAACCTCTTGAACCTTTTGCTTCGCCACCATTTGCGCTTTCGAGCGATTCGTAAACAAGTCCCCCATTGGGATGACCATCTTGAAATGACAAATGCCCTCATCTATATACATTCCCTTTCAGAACAATCATGAGCACGTAACCTATTTCATACACATTATTCCCACTTTCATAGCGGCAATCAACAAGGTCTCTCGCTCGCAAGAAAGACGTATACAAGCCACATGTTAAGTCGAGATGGCCCACATGACTGAATGTCACTAGTGAGCGTATGGCATTTCAGACTAGAGAGCTGGAGTATAAGAATAAGTTCCGCATGTTTGAAATCCAATCAGCACGATAAATCTACCGTTGCCATACTTGATATTTTTTTAAAAGTTCAATACAGTTCAGCTGGCATTGTTGCAGAGCGCGGAATGCGTAAATTCACATGCAGATGCAGCGCGTAAAATGGTAGTCAGCTCACACCACCCAAGCAGCTTCTGCACCTTTCTTCTTAGTTTCTAGGATTCCTCTGCTCATCAGGCGCAACGGTCCTGCCTTCTTTTGTTCCTTCTACCTTGCACTCGAAGTCTAGTGCGACGTCATTGTGCATAGCTTGAAGATGATTTCAGAATACTACTGGTAGCAAGTGATGTACATTTTGCTTTAGTCAATGAGTATGGAAGAAAATTTCGAAAACGCATTGACCACTGCCTTGCATTCATGCTTTAGCTTCAGGTGACTAGGTGCTGAAAAATCACTGGTAATGTAAAATTTCGAAATTCCGGTTTCAGAAAATGACAACGTGGCGGAGTGGTTAACGCGCCGGCCTGCTAAGCCGGTGCCCTTTGGGCGCGCAGGTTCGAATCCTGCCGTTGTCGAATTTTTGATTCGTTGATTTTTTTGAATCTCCGTTACTGCCCCATTGTATGCTGCTGTTCTGTAGCCGTTTGAATGATTTTAACCTTTATTAATTTCGTTTACTACCCTTGTAATATCAGTAGTATGCAGCCTTTATATGGCTTGATATTGCTGACATGAATTCTTAATGTTGTCTCGAACCGTACTAGTTATGCAGACTAGTAACGCACATTCGTGGAAATGAAGCCAAAGGGTTACAAGCTGCATGACTTGCATTATTGCAAGCTATTCTGTATCTTCATTTAAGCAATTAGTAGCGACTGAAGCAAACTTTTTTCAACTGAGTGCTTCAAAATAATTTTGCCATCAAGACACCCATTTTAATTGAATTCTCAATGGTACAATCAATCGATATAAGGGGTTCCCATTTGCTATGAAAGCTGCATGTTTCAAGCACTAGTGAATATGTCTCTCTTTCAGCTGCTTTGATCTATAACGCGTGCAGATTTAAAAAACAATAACAAAATAAAGCATATGTATTTAGGAACAAGTCATGTTGACAGGCTAACACAGAATATAATGACTATCGTGGATTACATAGCACGATCATTCCCATAATAAAGACCTATGCTTGCAAGATAAAATCCATTTCTCGACCCACCAATGGTAACACGTATACTGCTGGCAGTGACAGAGTCGATACGTAGAATTCGCTTGTAACCAATTGTAGTTCCATTAACAATGTTCGTCCATCTGCCATTCGCCATCGCCGACACAGTGAAATTCTCCACTCGCTGACCGAACTTGATGTTTTCCTGGAGAACCACGCGATTGAACGTTGTTTTGCCACCCAGACTTGCTTCAACGCTACCTGTCAGTGAATCCGGATGCCAGTATGTATCCAAGTTGTCTGTGTCGAACAGAGTCTTGGAAGCAGGTTTTTTACCCTTTGGTGAGATGGAGGTGATGCTTGCTTTGCTCGCCAAATTCTTTTTGAAAGTTGCGTCCCTGATGCTGGCAAATTCTTCTACAGACGCAACATCCGTATCATTCAACAGTCCGAGAGTGTTTGGAGGAATATTAAGCAACCAAACTGTATTTCGCCCCACCGAATTGTAGTATATATCGTTTAGCGTGGATGCATTTTTGGGTACTTCATCTTGGTGGTTAAACCAGCCTGGACGGATAGATACATCCGTCTCTGCAGGCATCCATCTCAGCTGTTGCGGATTGGCATGTGTCAAGTTGTAGTCGGATCCAAGTGGAAGCAAGGTGCCATCAGGTAAGGATGCATCTTCGGATTCATTTCCAGCGAATTGATAATACTGCAGCGACTGATCGCCTGTTCCCAGTAGCGGTATTGTGTTCCATTCTGTTTCTCTCGCAAATCCTTTCTCAGTACCAACCCATCTTGAGTCAATCAAGGAGAACAGAGTGCAGTCAGGACAGAGTTCTCTGGAAAGAGTCGCCCAATCATGGCGTTGAAGGGTCTCCGATACGCCAGCAAGTGGATTGAAACCGTCTGTGCCAGAATGTCATTAAAAAAAAACTGTGAATTATGACAGGCTTTTTCCTTACTTTGAACTCACCAAACCAAACTTCAGAGATTTTTCCGTACTCAGTCAACAGTTCGTAAAGTTGATTCATGTAGTAACGATTGTAGTCATCAAGGGTAAATGTGTAAAACTTTTTGGGTTTTCTATCGTCTCCTTCGATCAAAGTTGGAATGGAAACAGTCATGTTCGGAGAGCCGCTGCCAAAACGTGGTTTATCTGTGGGGTCCACAATTGATTTGTTTTGATACTGAACAGGGTCTGGATGCTTGCTTTGGAATATATCGGCTGGTGACAGATAGAGTCCAACCTCAAGTCCTGCTTCCCTAACAGAGTTGACGAATTCTTTGACCACATTTCCAGTACCATTTCTCCAGCTGGATGACTTGACAGAATGTGCGGTATACCGACTTGGCCATAAACAAAACCCATCATGGTGCTTGGTAGTCAATATAAGTCTCTTGAACCCGGCCTTCTTGAACGTTTGTGCCCATTGGGTGGTATTGAGTTTATCGGGCTGGAAAATGTTGGGACTCTCGTCTCCAGTACCAACTAAGATGTAATATGAGTCTCAGGTTCAAAAATTTCATGCGATAAAGGCTATATCTTACTCTCGAGGCCAGTGTACGTGTTGACACCGAAATGCGTAAACCCAATCATCTCATTCTCCTGCTCGTGTACCTGTGCTTCTGTTGGCCATAATTTGCTTGCTGCACACAAAATATCGGCATTTGTGGCATTCGGCGGTATCTCCAACGTCCAATTTGGGTGGACCGAAGGACAATCGTCTCTTAGTGCAGACGCGGTTGCCAATAAGGATGCGATTAGAGCTAGACATATGAGCATATTTGCGGATCTAGGATAATACAAGGGTCAGCGGAAGTTCGCACTCTGAATCATATATACCTGAAGGGTTCAGGCAAGACTATTCCGCATTTGACTACGATGGTGAGCTACAGGCATATACCTTACGTAACACATCTGCAGGGTTGGGGGGTTATGTTGCATTATGGTCACAGACAATAAAGGTTTCCGAGGTAGCACTTGAAGCAATTGGCTCTAGCATTTATGTGAAGGGTTCGGTCGTTCACACGCACCCGTCTGTTGCTATTCTAGGTGATAAAGTAAGGTTTAGTCGAAGTCTGTTGAACCCTGTTCGGTATCAGTCTATCCCTCAAGATATCCTCACCTCCAGTTGTTACAGGTGTCAACTCATGGTAAATCAACGTTCGTTGCATGACATATCGAAACATTGGCAGTAAGGCGATGCAAGCTACTACTCCGACGCAAGGGAGCAATCCAAGATACGGCATACAATATGGAGTCTATATATGGGAAGAACGTAAATGATACTACAAGGTTAACGAAGTACCCGAGCAATATTACTTCATGTTAAACAAACCTACGCAAAGGAGACCCTGAGCCAGGCTTATTCGACTATATATTGCCATTCACTTATAGTGGTTTTTTCGGATATCAAGTGGCATATTGTCTATCGAGATTTACGAACCGTATGATCTGTTCTACAATCATACCTAGGTACCATTTCGTAGCTCCTTTCATCTTTAATCGTTTTCTTACGCTGTAGTTCGTCCACATGGTGGTTATTGCGTTATATCCGAGACCACGGAAGGTGGGAAACTATGTGATTCATCCATCTTTTCTTTTGTGCAAAGTTCGGGAACGGCTTGGTTTGTTGCCTTTTATCAAGACAGAAATTGATTTCATCCAGCTTACTAAAAGCAGAACACCTATATGGTCTTGAAAATGTTTTGATAGCATTAACAGCGTACATCATACTCTTTTATTGATTGGCAATCGACATATGATGCTTACAGCAGGCTTTAGCCAGTGTTTAAGGTACATCCTTATTTGAAGGACCGATAGCTGCCAGAGTCTTCTATTTGTATCACAGTTTTGGGCAAACGCATAATGAAGTATGTGCTTGTGGTTGCCATGCAAGTTGTTCATGTTTTTGGTATCGAAATGCTGTCAAAGAAATTACATTTCTGAGAGATTGACGGGCTGTCAGCGTGCTTGACTTCAAAGTGACATCGAAATATCACTTTCAGGGGTGTCGACAAAAAATTTTGTGAAGCCAGAATTGTGTGTAAATATTTTATTAGACTTGTCGTTCCAAAGCGACTCATTATCAGATAATAGTTGGATATCAAGTATGCTTGTTGATTCCACAAGCTAATAGCAACATATACATTGTTTGATTGATATACTATAGCATCCTATACTAATCGCTCAAGACAATTATTCGCAATGATACGGGTCACGAGCGTTTGGCTGTTGATGATACATTAAAAGTTTAACTTGAAGTGTAGAACATCATGTAAAATCTAATGCTAAGTGAAGAGATTACTGCAGTGCTCGTTGTCCGTTTCACCTGATTTAATGTTTGTCGCACAGACAGTATATTAAGCGCAAAGTACTGCGAAATTCAACACCAAGCCTTTTCTCTCTCTCCCTTGAAGGAAGCTTGCTGCCGTAGAAGGCAGTACAACTGTCCGTTTAATCCACCAAATGCAGTCTAAGGATGAATATTCCAGGACAGACTATAGTAGCGAAAAGCGCTTTCTCCTTCGGTGGTTCGATATGGTAACTATGAAAAAAATCACAAACTGCCAAGGCGAGGAACAAAGCTCATTAGTAGATTATGATATTTCTACTAAAGCAATGTGTGGCGAGTCAAGTGTACAACATCATTTAGCTGCATGTGAAAGGTATCAGCAATTAGCCAACTTTCTACCAAGCGTTGGTTCCAATTATGGCACGAATGCATACACTCCAATCGATGCACTTAGCGTGGATAGATGTGACGATTCAGCTTTTATTTCAATGATGCAGCAATCCCAAATTACTACTGTAGGAAAAAATGACTGTAGTATTACTCCGCTTCACATGGCGGCAAGTGACGGATATCAGGAGGTAGTGAAGATACTACTAGATGTAGGTGCCGATATTGACGCACAAGATTCCCATTCAAATACTCCATTACATTTGGCTGCCGTTAAAGGTCATAAGGAAGTCGTAAATCTACTAATGGATGAAGGAGCTGCTGTCGACAAAATAAACCATACCTCGAGTACTGCACTTTTCTTGGCTATATGGAATGAACACCAGGATTTAGTTAAGTTACTGATAGAAAGGGATGCCGCTGTCGACACGCAAGACTGTGATTTGGAAACTGCGCTTCATGCAGCTGTTTCCATGGGATATCCGATAACAGCAAAGCTATTACTAGAGAAGGGAGCTGCAGTTGACGCA